GGTTGTGAAGGCAGAGACAAGGGTTTCTGGTTGACCCCTGCAACCAGGTAAGGCCATGTGACCTGCTCCCATCCATAGGGTGTGGGCAAATGTGTATTATTCTAGGTTCAGAGACTTTAAAAAGCAGTGGACGTCTTCATGCTCTCCCTGTGTACTGATTGGCTGCAGAGGAAGCCAAGGACCTGAGGGCTGGTTGACTCACAGGATGTAACTTGTTGGGATTTCTGAATCATCTTGTGGAAGAATACACACACTGGACCTTTGTGTGAGCATAAAAAATAAACTTCCATTGTATTAAGTATTAAAATATTTTTGGGGCTTATTTGTTATAGCAACTAGTGTTGCCTAATACAAGTTAGGTATCACTAAATTCAATAATACCTTAGCCCTCCTGGTCACTAGGCCCTTGGGGTGAGGATTCTAGGACCTCTCTCCCCCCTTCATCAGCTGTATCTTAACTCTTCACATTTGAGTGAATAAAATATACTTAACTAAACCAAGAGTTGGTGAGGATGTGGGGGAATTGGGGTGCTCATTTGCTAATAGGGGGAATGTAAAATGGGGCAACCACTTTGAAAAACTGGCTAGTGGTTCTTAAAGCATTGAGCATCCACCTACCTTGTGATCCAGTCGTTGTACTCTTAGATGTTGACCCAAGAGAGAAGACAGCATATGTCCAAGCAAAGATTGGTACACACATGTACCAATTGATTTTATTAGCCAACAACTGATCACTGGTCCCCAAGCATTGTTCAAAACCTTACTGAATGTCTTGCCATTATTTCCATGAGCTTCTCTGGGAAGCTGCCCTCTTTAGGTCTCACTATCTACATTGAATTCTTAAGAAAATCTTGAATCTGATTGTGTCTCTCCATCTCTGCCACTACTACATCCTGCCAGTATTTCACAGATCCCTAAGATCTTCCTTCTTTCCTCCTTTTTGGTCTTTTTTCCCCAATGCAGTGGCCAGAGAATCCCTTTAAAAATAAATGAAATCGCATCTTTTCAATTGCTTCCCAATAGGCTCTGCATAAAGTCCGGTATCCTTACTGTGAACCACAGGTGTTGGGAACTCTGACTCCTGGCTCCGTGGTTTCTTTTTCTTTGACTACCAGCTCCAGACACACTTGTTTCCTTCTTTCTCTCAAATATGCCAGAGTCCTCTCTTCATGAAACCACATGCATGCCCTTCCCTTACCTTCTAACACGGTTTCCTCAGAATATCCATGTAACTTTTCTCATGGTCTCTGCTCAGATGTTACCTAATCAGAGAGGCTGTCTCTGAACACTTCCCCAGTGTGTTCACTTTGGCATGGACACTGTAAGAGCTGGCATGTGTGATGACACTCTCTATTGCCCCTTGCTAGAGTGACCTGCACTGTTTTTGACAGCAACTTCTTATTTCTTACTTCCTGGTTCAGCCAGGGTCTCTAAATGTGGGTGCTGATAAACAAAGTTCCAGTTGATTCCAAAAGAAAACACAACTAAAACAAGAAATAAAACTTTGTTGATTTAATTCACAGATTTTTTGGGGGGCCAGATTGTTTGTTACAGCAGCATGACCTGGCCCATCCTGACAGATACAATAACCAATCTTCCCTAGATCAGCAGCCCCCTGGTTGCTTTTCATCCTAGAACACACCAAATTAAGTTGCTCACATGACTTAAAAAAACTCCATGCCCGTCTTTGTGACTGTGAAGTTGCTTTGTTCAAGAAATCTTGACATGTGTGGGATCTTAACATGGCCTCAAATGTGCATTGGTTTTATTATTCTGAAGAATGACTTCATGTCTCTTTAAGGTCTTGCCCTATCGCCCTCCTAATTGTAGGCATCTTCAGATTGGCCATATTAACCAACTTCCTTCCAACCCTAGAGCCTACTACTGGAGAATTACATATGCCAAGGAGCCCCACTGAATTTCAGTGCTCGAAGCAGTTCTGAAGGTCACCTTACATCCACCTAACTGAATTTCTCAAACATCAACTAGTATTTTAAGACCATTCCAGACATATCACCATTTTTCAGATGAAGCTCCAGCTGTCCAACAAATGGAACATAATATTATTTGAACAGAATGATGGTCTGGGAGAGCAGACCCTGGAAACCTCAGTTAACTACCATCGTCCTTTATCCCAGACAGGTGTTACCTATAGCAAAAGACTCACAAAAATGATTTTATTTTATTTGCAACTTCATAGCCCAACCTTTTCCTCCCACTAACCCTTTTCTCTCACCTCATGCTAACTCCTGTCCAAATGAAACCATGCACCCAACCAGTTCTCTTATAAAATGCAATTTTCCAGAAAACCTGGGCTTCAGGCAAGTAAGAGCTTCCATGAGAAGCTGCTGGCAGCAGTGTGTTCTATTTTTGCATGCATCTGTTCTGTAACACTAGAGAAAACTAGTCAGTATTTAGCCTAGTTGGGTTTTAGAGGAAGGAAAAGAGGTTGTGTGTGTGTGAGAGCATTCCCTCACTCAGCATTTGGCCTTGGTTGGGCTAAGTCAACCCCAGAGTCATCCAAAAGCTCATCACGGGGGTAAGAATGGCCCTTTTTCACTGTGTTTTTTGTGATGAATACACCAGATTCATACACACGCCTATGCGTTATCCACACATCCATTTTTATATCAATAGAAAATGTTTTCCAGATGTGGGTTCGAGGTGATAGGCTTTGTACTGCTGACTTTTTATTTTCTGTTAGGTCTCAGCCCAGCCTAGCACACAGCCTATTGTTTTTATATCAAAAAGCCCGGTCGTACCTGCTTAATAAGCCAGAGGAATTTGCAGCAACCTGGGGGAACTGAAGGAATGTGGCTTTCAGATCCGATTAGAGAGATGTGGCCAGGTCCCCAGGGTTCTCAGATTCAGCTCTTTCAGCCTACAATGTCATCATTGTCCTCCGGGGCAGTGTGCTAAATGATTCAGGTTTCTGCACCCCCTCTTCTAGAGCCTGTGTGCGTGGCCCCAATGCAAACCCAGATGGGAGTTGACCCTTAAGTTTTTTCTGTTGGCTTTCTGGTCTTCCACTGTCTCTGCAAATGCACTTTGTGCTGGCCTTTGCAGGGTCATAGAGAAAGGATCTGCAGGCTGGGGTCTCTCTCTGGGAAGTCTGAGTGTCCCCAACTTTGAAGAATCTTTGCACTTTGAATTGTGCATGGCAGAGCTTGAGATTTCAGTAAGAATCCTAGTCTGGCTGTGTGACCATGGGCAAGACCCTTGACTTCTCTGAGTCTCAAATGGTTCATCTATGTACTGTCCATCTCAACGTTTCCCATTTTGGCACTATCGTGAAGATAAAATAAGATGATGCATGGAAATTTCTTTGCACATAGAAAACCCTTAAAAAACAGTAGCTAATGTTATTGTCACAATTGCTACTGTTATGATGTAAGAGAAGCCTGGACCCTCGTGGGTTTCCCACGGAGATCCACTGGTTTAGAAGTGGCTGTGAGTAACGTGACTTGTGGAAAGGCTTGCTGGCCCTGCCTTAAAGTGTCTCTTAAGATGTCTCCTTTGGCCTATCTCCCAGAGCCCTGGAAGCAAATATGGTGCCTGAGTATTCTGGAGCTACAACTGTGACTTTGAATGCTAGGAATATTTCCCCCCACGGGAAGGACCTGTATGGATGTGGGCCAGCTCCAGCTCAGAGGCAGAAAGTGAAAACCTGGCGGCCCTGGGGTCAAAGCCAGCTCAAGTTTTCCCTTTGCTGTGAGCCTTCTTTGCTCAGGGAGGAATCCAAATACGTGAGCAGGCTGCAGGAGATGGGGCTGAGTGAATAGACACCTAGAGGACATCATGATAGGATGGGTAATGTTGATGACGTCATCTCGATCATTTCCGGGCATTATGTATTCTTTGCCAGGGAGCAGGCTAGGTGCTGTCGAGGCTCTGATGCCCTCTCCAGAGAGCAGGACGCTGAGGCTTAGCCTGTGACCCCACAATAGTAAACCCGCTGGATCTGGGTTCAGGGTGCCTCATCTAGGAGCTCTTGCTTCAGCACCCCCATGCGAGAGGGCTTCCTGACTCGGTGGGCCAGATGGTGAAGCTTTGAGTTGACTTTTTGCTGAAATCCCCAGGAAGCTCCCTTGTTCCCTTTCAGCTTAGGATGACATGGTAGAAGATTACATCACAACAGCAATATTTCAACCCCCTTTTCAAGGAAAGATACTATATTAAATAGTTTATGTGTGGCAATAGATTAAGAAGACCGTGATCTCAAGGAATTGCACAACACCTCTCAAAAGGATGACTTGGGTCTTCATTATTTCCTCCAATAATTTCATTGTGAGAATGGTTATAAACACCACAGATCTGTATTTCCACGCACAAAGAGGAAAGTAGCTGTCAGAGACATCACCAAATAGTTGGTTACTTTTGTGTGTCTGTTATTTTAATTTTTGAATATTACACTTTTATTTATTATTCCTATTTAAAGTTTATTTTCTAATTAAATAAATCAACAACAAAAGACATACCATGAAGACTCACCCCCCCTCTTGTCCACAGCCACCCAGTTCTCCTTTGAGGGGCAACTGAGGTTTTCAATTTCTCGCACATCTTAGAGTCAGTGATCAGAATTTGAGGAGGAGAAAGGGAATTTTCCTTTTAATGCATATTTGTTTGATAGCTACTGTTGGAGTTTTTGACAATAAGCTTAGTGTAAGGAAAATTAAAGGTCATAAAAAAGATCATTAAAGTGCCCTACGCCCACCTCCCCAAACCCTACCTTCTCAGCCCAGGGACCGCATCTTTTGTCCCAGGTTCAGAAGCAGAAGCCACAAAAGCACCCCCTCTAACGGGTACTGCGTTCGCTCGGTCTCAGTAGCTCCAACGCTTGATACTTCAACTGGAATGGAGGAGAAAATTATGGGGAGGCCTTTGATCTTTGGACCCATCCTCTTGATTGATCTCCATGGCAACCCTCAGGCCCCCAAGGGGTGGAGAATGCACCCCATTGTTCTGTCTCCCCCACCTTCATTCCATCTTAATTACCTGTGCTGATTCAGGCTGGTTCCATCCCAGGCTTCCCTTTGCACTGGAGGGTCCGGGAGATGTGCAGGAAGATAAAACACACCTTGTTGTCCCCCCCCAGTTCCTGCTTCTCTGTTCCTTTCTCTCCCTGCCTCTCGGGCGGTCAGATGCTGCCCCTGCCAGCCTGGGCTTGGATTCCAGTCTAGTGACCCGAGTCCATGACGGAGTCCCATAAATCCTGCGTGGGAAGTCATTCAGCACCTTAGCGCTTTCTCGTGTGTACAAAGGGATAAAAGTGGTCCTCATCTTAGGACTGAAAATGAAACACCTTCAAAGCACAGCGACGGTCACATTGTAGTGATTCACAAAGGTGATGTGGCTTTATTTATAAGAGACTTCCTGGGGATCTGGATAACTTCTCTAGATTTAATAGTGATTGAACTTTTATTGTCAATATTGGTCCATCCACACCCCCCAGCCCCCACCCACCCACCCACTCACCCATCTATATCTATTATGTGTCTACCTATCTGTCTGTCTGTCTCTCTCTCCATTCATTCACATCTAGTTTTCCTTCCTGTCTCCCTCTACTGCTTTCCCCCCCCCCACCCCCGCCTATATCTGTCTGTCACCTGTTTTCCATGTCTGGCTTGATGATGTCCTCTCTGTCATACCCACACCCACGCACTATCTGTTCACCTCATCCTGTCAGAGCTGCTCGCCTACCCCACCCCAGCTTTTGCATGTGTTGTTCCCATTGCTGTGAGCGTCCATTTCTGTCCCTCATCCCTGGCTAGCTCTGCCCATCAGGTCTCGGCTGAGAAGTCACTTTCTGCTGGACCATCCTCCATTCACCAAGACACGCACTGCAGCGGCTCCTCCCACATCTTAGCATTTATCAGTCTGCGTCGAAATCGTCCATTTCCTTCCCTGAAACCCCTTCTTCAGTTTGCTAGCCCCTGGGTAGCTGGGTCTGTGTCCTGTCCCTAGCAGAGTGTCTATCTAGAACATTCTCAGTAAATCATTGGATGCGTTCATTTGACGGATATTAATCGAGCAGCTGCTATGTGTCAGGCTGCATAGTTGTGAACACTCCTCAGGAGGTTTCTGTTCCTGTGCGGGTGGATGAATGGGCATTGGACCCTAGCATGGCTGCCCATCAGTCAGATGGAACGTCCTGTTGCCTGTGTATCCCGGGATTCCCATCTCTGTGCCTGCTTAACCCCGTGCCAGAGCTGGGGGAGTACACCGCTGTCTGTGTGATGCTCTAGTGCTTTGAAATTTCAAAGTTGGGTGATAAGTGTGTGGGTGCCATCTGGACATGGGCCCAGAAGGCTCAGCAGACTGTACCTCATGCCCTCTGCAGCCCCAGGACCCAGCTCAGGGCTTGGCCCTGAATGGGGCCCCCAGTTAACGTGAGCTGGAGCTGAGTGAAGTCAGGGTCTCGCTCCTCCTTCTGGCTGAGGAAGGATCTTTGGTCCAGGGGGCCTCTTGCACAAATATGATCTCATCCGCCGCTTGATGGTGTGTTTAATTTTTTTAAAAAGATTTATTTTATTTATTTATGCATGCAAGATCTGGGGTGCAGGCCAGAGGTTTGGGGGAGGGGTGAGAGGATTCACCAGAGACAGAGTGGGGAGCAGAACAGGCAGACTGACGAAATACACTGCTGAGGGGAGCAGCAGGTGAGACAGGGGAGATCTGCTGCACCATGTGGGATTCTCGCTGGCCAGCCAGAATTGAACCTGCACTGCAGAGGCAGTGGACAGCTTCACAGGGCTGAGGTGCTGAACCGCCTGTGCCACCGGGGAGGCCCTGGCCAGATTGTTCAAATGAATGAAGCTGATCAAAGATGTATTAGACAGGATCCCGGCAGGAAACGGGTGATAACCCCAGATCAGGCCATGGATGGGAGTTTACTGATGTGGGAACAGATGTCTGGGAAGGATGTAGAGGAACTTAAAGGTGGAGGGAAACAAGAGGAATGGTGTGGTCCCCTGAGGCTGGGAGCTTGTGGGTACTCTCACCTCCGTTAGGCTGAAGGAAAAGTTATTGATGAGGATAACTCTATGGAGATAGAGGAGCCCTGGTGCAGTCAACCAGCAGAGACTCAGGGAACCCACAGAGAGGGAGCTGGGGACCAGTTTCCGTACTTCACTCCTGCTTATATTCCTCCCAGTTCTCCTGTTGGCCAAGTCCAACTTGAATCATATGGAGCCATAGAGAACACTCTCCAGGGCAGAGATGTGGGTGGAGAGCGACTTCAGGGACCTGGAAGATGGATGTAGGATAGCTTTCACTTCCACAAGAACATATGCTATGTTCTCTGAAAAACATGCTCTTCTTTGTCTGCCTTAAATTCTCAGTGTCTTAGTTTCCCATTCTTTAAAGTGGGAACAACAACAGCAACAATAAAATAGCACCTACTTACCAGCCCTTAGTGAACTGTTGTGAGGATTAAATGAATTAGTTCACATAATGAACATAAACTGTCCCAAGTAGGCATTTTCATTTTGTCATCGTCACCATGATCTTTTGTTTCTCTACTTTTGAAAGAGACATGGGTACAAGTTGTATTTTACTATGCCTTTACACAGTGAAACAACAGTGAGAGCCTAATGAGAGAGTGAGACACAATGAAACACAGTGTAAGGAGACAATAGGGAATGGTGGGGATTGTGGCAAAAGGCAGAGTCCTCAAGGGACCACCCACCACTGAGCCCTAGCTGGTTATGACCTTGTAGGAATGTGAACTGAGCGTTGCTATAACTTTCAAGTATTTAAGAAATGCTGAAAACTGGAATTTCTATTTGAAAGCTTCTGATTTTTCAGTGTTGCCAAATGACTCAAATATTAACAAGTTTATCATCTAAGCCAGCACTCAGTGAGCCAAATAAAACAGGTCTGGGCGGCTGGATTCAGCTCACATGGAGCTAGTTGTGAGCTTTGGTTAAGCTTATGCCTGTGGACCGGAGGAAGCTGTTGGCTTTTCAAGGGAGAGAGGGTATGACCTTGGCCCCATGCAGAAGCCTGAAGAAGTGAGGCCTGAGCTAAAAGACCAGAGAGATAAGATAAAGCATCCTTGACCTAAAACATAAGAGCAGGGAGAATGCTTGGGGGAGGGACGTTAGGGGACAGTAGGGGTGAACTGTCTCATTAAAGGGGCCTGGGTGGGTTTTCCAGAAAGGGGAGAGTGGTCTGAACACATTCAGAAGCGCCATGTGGCCAGAAGCCCGATTTCCGCTGGATGACTGTAGACAGTGCGCTTTTCTCTGTCCAGAGTTGTCCACTGTTCTTTTGGGGGCTGGAGAGCCAGAAGCCAGTTCTAAGAGAATCATGGCAGTTGGAGGAATCACCATCGGCGCCTTCTGTGCTTCTCGGGAGAGACCAGGCGGCAGGCAACGCTGCCCTGTGCTTCGGGGTTGCCCAGCTTCCTACCCCCCTGGGTTGGGGTCCAGCTCTCCTGCCTCCTTTCCTTAAGCGACATAAAAATGTGGATTTGAATTCCACATCTTGGGCGAGCAGCCGGGATGCAGAGCCGGTACAGACGGCCTCTCCCCGCACACATCTGTTAGATGCATCGCCCGGCGATCTCGGCTTGTTCCACAGTGAGCAGAATTACTTCCTCTCATTACTCCCCACGTCGCTTCAAAACCACACTCAGAAAAAGAAAACCACGGAAGGGGACTTGGCCAAGCATACCGCCCTCGCTGACCAACTTTCCGAGCTTAGGAGCCTGGGCGGAGGCGAGGGGATGGCGCAGGGGTGAGGCGCAAGGGTGAAGGGGGTGCAGGACGGCTGTGTGGAAGGCAGCGGGCCACTCTGGTGATATTTTCCTCTGGCTTCTGCCGCGCCTTTCTGCATGTCTCTGACTGGGTTCCGGCCTCATGTCCATACAAATGTCTGTGTGTCTGTGGGTCTCTGTGTCTGTCTGTCTCCACCTGCTTCTCTGTGTGTATGGGTCAATCGGTGTGCTGTGCGTCGATTTTATTCATGACCTTTCCAGCTTTCTCGAGACACCGGCCTAGAACATGTAAGTTTCAGGTGGATAATGTAATGATGGACATGCCTGTGTGTTGCGGAATGTTTGCCACCATCAGTGTGGCCAACCTCTCCACCCCTCACATACGGGCACTGAGCCACAGTTGGGTCCAGGGGGACCAGGGCCTGGCATAAGGGACTCGGGGTCTCCGTGGGCTGGGTGTGTCTCGGGGATGCCATGTAGTGTGATTACACGTTCACGTTTGCATCATGGTATCACCTAACAAGGCAACTCTTAGAACGTGTCCTCGTTAGTGAAGCTTGAGTGTAATGATCGTTTTTGCAGGAGGTGGGTGATAACTTGGAGGTCTGCTCTCTGGGCAGCTTTCAAGTTTGCACACAGGCTTGTTCCCTGTAGTCCCCACGAGGGGTCCTGGAGCCCAGAATGTATTCACTCCCTCCTGGGAGGCTTGGCCTTGCACCGCCGCCTCTCCCCGTCCCATCACGGTCCACTGCCCTTCCACTCTCTAGTTCTGTTCCTGTGAGTTTGGCTTTGGAAAATTTTACATGTAAATGAGGTTCTATGGGGTTTGTCTTTCTCCTTCTGACTTACTTCGTTTGGTATAATGCTCTCCAGGCCCACCCGTGTTGTCACAAGGGGCAGGGTTTCCTTCTTCATGGCTGAACGTTATCCCACTGGGCACAGACACCCCAACTTTTTGACACCCGCTCATCTGCTGGGTGTGTCTATTTTAGATAGTGCCCATTTTGCAGTTGCACACACAGGCATTCCTATTTATCTTACCAGCAGCCGATGAGCTTAACACTACAGATGCCTAAGTTTGACTTGCCCATTCATTCCTGTATCTACTCAGCACCCCCGTGTGCCGGGCACTGTCTCCAGCTGGGGGAAGCGGCCACGAAGGAGGCACACACATTTCTGGTGGCTGCGAGCTCCTGTGCACGTGGAGAGCGGTGTGCCGCTGACTAGGACATAGAGAGGCTGCTTTTCTGGCTAAGTGATGGACCTACATACAGAGTGTCCAGAGGATGGTCGTCAACTTGAGCCCTGGCTTAGAATGCAAGTGCCCTGGGCAGGCCCTGAGGTTGGCCTCCCCCTCTTACAGGTCACATCTGTGCCACCTGAAAACGGGGCTCTGTGCTGGATATGTCACGTGACAGTTGCCTTTGTTATTTACCTGTCGGAAATAATGTACCCTCCAGAGTTCAGGGTCTTGCAAACATTCCCCTGCTTCACATGGCCAGGGACAGTAAACCAGGTGAGCCCCCCTTGTGTATCCTTCTGCAGGGGCAGGGGGTGCAAATGCCGATATGCAGCTCCCTCTTTTTGTCCTGGATCCATCAGGAAGCCGCTGTGGGCAGGTGGGG